GGGTCTCACTAATGACTTAGTTTCTCACCAATGACTTAGTTTCTCACCAATGACTTAGTCTCTCACTAATGACTGGGTCTCACTAATGACTTAGTTTCTCACTAATGACTTAGAATCTCACTAATGACTTAGTCTCACTAATGACCTAGTCTCTCACTAATAACTTAAGTTATTACTTATGTATATTATTACTTATAACTAATAAGTCAAGCTTTATGACAGGCAGTGAGCAATATGCGTTGGTTCAGGGGTTGCTAAACTTAGCATTAATGTTGTTTCTTTTATTTATTTATTTTGCAGAAAATCAACAGGAAGAAGCATTTCTCCAAAACTAAACACAGCAAGTTTAATGAGTCGGGCCAGCTGAGCGCCTTCTACTTGTTCTCCTTCGGTTGGGGCACAAGTATCCTGCTTTCTGTACGTGCAGCTTGTATTGTTTGTTTGTTTTGTTTTGTTTTGTTGCTTGCTTTTGATTTAGGCCTTACACTGAATTTGAAAACCTCTTTGTTCCTAGGAACACTTCCTGTCCAATCCTGTCTCTCTGTGGGAGGGTTATCCTCACACCCTGATGCCGTAAGTCATAGAATCATACCAGTTATTTATGGATAAACAGAAACCAACATCTGCTGCGTATGTTATTTTAGGAGTGCTCAAAAGGAAAATGCTTGTTCTCTTTCAGGTTCCAAATGAAATTCTTCTACATTTGTCAACTGGGTTACTGGTTACATGTTCTCCCTGAACTTTATTTCCAAAAGACAAAGAAAGTAAGTGTGTGTTTGAGGGTGTGGTAGATGCATCGTTTTTGGATAGGATGACGTACTGTTACTTCTGTTTGGCTTCTTCCTGTTTGACTTCCTTGTAGCCAAGTGTTATTGTTTCAAATAATTGTACTCTTCTTGCTGAAATGACCATGCAGAACCACACTGCTGTAAATATTTTGACCATTCTTGGCCTCCCGTCCTTTTGTGTTTATCGTTCAGGAGGATATTCCACGTCAGCTTGTGTACGTCTTCTTGTACCTGGCCCACATCGCTGGCGCCTACATTCTCAAGTAAGTGCTGCCATCTAAGAAAAGCTACAATTAAAAGTGTAATGAGGTGTTTGTTGATATGCTGCGACCTTTGCAGCGTCTCTAAAGATGCCTGATTGTGTCTTCCAGCCTGAACCGTCTGGGCTTGGTCCTGCTGGTGTTGCACTATTTCGTTGAGCTCCTGTTCCACGTTTCTCGCCTGGTCTACTTCAGCAACGAGAGCAAACAAATGGGGTTAGTCTTTAATTTTAGATAGATATATAGATATAGACATTTTAAGGGGAGTGGTGGCACAGAGGTTAGAGAAGGTGGGCCTGTGATCGGAAGATCACCGGTTCAAGCCCCTGTACCGACAACATCAAAAATGTGGGTGGGGTAGGTGAAGCACCCATACCTGCCCCCACTCTCATTTGTCCCACTCTGGGCCCTTGAGCAAGACCCTTAACCCCCACCATCTGCTACTCCGGGTGTCCTCGATAGCAGCTCTCTGCTCCACACAGAGGGCTGTGGTAGCTCGGTAGTTTGTGGTTGCGTCAGGAAGCGTATCCGGCATAAAAAAAACTGCCAAGTATTTGTGCGACTTAGTTCGCTGTGGTGACCCCTAACACAGGGAGCAGCCAAAAGAAGAAGAAAAAAAAAATATATATAGATATAGACATTTTATTTATTTATTTTGAGATGGCTATAGAGAGGCAGATATGTAGAAAGGGGTAGTGATGTAGAGAGGGGTAGAGATGTAGAGAGGGGTAGAGATGTAGAGGGATAGAATGAGGATAGAGAGAAATGGCTAGATATCGTTAGCTCTAGAGAGATAGGGATAGAAATATATATGGATAGAGATGGGGATATATGGATAGATATACATAGCTAAAGAGATAGGGATCGAGATAGAGAGATGGATAGGGATAGATGTATAGAGATGGATAGGGATCGATTTATAGAGATGGATAGGGATAGATGTATAGAGATGGATAGGGAT